AGAGCTGAATCCAGTCTTGCACTCCCCTCCCCAGCCCCTCCCGGCTGCTAAGCCTCTGCTCTTTGGGTGAAACATGATTAAATGGTGACCGCACATAAAAGTTGAGTTCCTCTGTGGGCCCTGTGTTCCTGCTCTCCTCCCTGTTTTCAGAAATAGAGTGTAAAATTGAAGAATGAGGGGTATTGGGGGCTTCGTATAAAAGGGAAAAGAGAGAAAGAGTCACCGATTGAGCTCTCACTGCAGGTCAGGCCCTGTGCCAAGCCAGAGGAAAGCCCCAGGGTGGTCACCAAATCTGTGACAGTCCTGAGGACGAGTCTTCCTGCTGGGATAAACTGGTCCCGGACAGGCAGGATTACCACCATCTGATGATCTTTTGTACTTCTGTTGTATCAATTGTAATGTCTCCTTTTTCATTTCTGATTGTGTTTATTTGGATCTCCTCTCTTCCTTGTTTGGTTAGTCTAACTAATGTCTTAACCATTTTGTTTAGGTTTTCGAAGAACCAACTTTTCATTTCGTTGATCCTTTGGACTTGCTTTTTTTTTTTTTTTTTTTGTCTCTGTTTCATTTAAATCTGCTCCGATTTTCTTTCTTTTCTTTTTTTCTTCTGATAATCTTGGGTTTGTTTTGCTCTTGTTTTTCTTCTTCCTTGAGGTGCAATATTAGGTTGTTAATTTGGATTCTTTCTACTTTTTTGATGTAGGCATTTAATACTATAAATTTCCCTCTTAGACCTGCTTTGTCTGGATCCCACAGGTTTTGGTATTTTGTGTTTTCATTTTCATTCATTTCAGAAAAATGTATTAATGTCAGTCTTAATTGCTTCATTGACTCTGTGATCATTCAGGAGCAAGTTTAATTTCCATGTATTTGTATAATTTCTGAGGCTCCTCTTCATATTGATTTGATTTTCAGCTTTATTTCACTTAGGTCTGAGAAGATACTTGATATGATTTCAATTTTATAAAATTTGCTAAGACTTCTTGTGTGGCCTAACATGTGGTCTATCTTGGAGAATGTTCCAGGTGCTGGTGAAAAGAATGTATAACCTGTAGTCATTGAACAAAATGTTCTATAAACATCTGTTAAATCATTTAGTCTAAAGTCCAATTTAAGTCCAAGGTGTCTGTTGATTTTCTGTCTCAATGATCTGTCTCTTGATTGAGTGGGGTGTTGAAATTCCTCACTATTATTGTATTGTTGTCTATCTCTTTCTTTAGGTCTAGTATAATAATAATTGTGTGAATCTGGGAGCTCTGATGAGGGATGTGAATATATTTCATTTTGTTATATCTGGTTGCTGACTTGATCCCTTTATTATTATATAATGATGTTCTTTATCTTTTTTTTACCATTTTGATTTAAAGACTCTTTAATCTGATATAAGTACAGTTACTCCTGCTCACTTTTGATTTCTATTGGTGTAGAATAGCTTTTTCTATCCCTTCACTTTCAGTCTATATGTGAGTTTTTTGTAAGTAGCATATATTTGGATCATGGTTTTTTATGCATTCTACCAATCTATATCTTTTGAGTGCAGCATTTAACCCACTTATGTTCAAGCTTAATATTGATATATGAGGCTTTGCTCTTGTCATATTGTTGACTGTTTTATAGTTATTTTATATATTCTTTTTTTCTTTCTATTTCTCTCTCTTTTTCTCTTTGTGGTTTGATGAAATTCTGTGATGTTGCTATTTGATTCCTTTCTCTTCCTTGTTTGTGTAATTGTTTTATATGACCTGTGAGTTATTTTTTGTGTGTTTTTGTGATGAAAAGTATTGACCTTTTGCTTCTGTGTTTAAGTCCCCTTTGAGCATTTCCTGTAGGGATTATCTAGTGGTGACAAATTCCTATCAGCATTTGCTCATCTGGGAAAGACTTTATTTTTCTTTCAATTATGAAGCTTATTCTGGCAGGATATAAAA